TTGGGAAGACAGTCTTTTAAATACTCTTACATATTTATCTATCACCTATACCGTAGAGAAAACTATTTTAACACGGATTAAAATAAAATTCTAAATTGATTTAAACTTACTAACACTTATTTTTAGATTTTCGGTTGAATATGAACGTATTTATATTTGAACGACGAAGTGTTGTTAAACTTCATAGTCTATAATTGTACATCAATCTGAATTCTTAATTGCGATTTAGCTGGAATGTGAAATATTTTTTCCCATTGGAAAAGCGGAAATCAATTTTCGCTTTTTAATTCGTCCACGAACCGTCAATGTCTTTTTCGAAGTTTGATGGGATATTTGTTACTGCTGTACAAATATTCTGCACATTTTTACGCTATCTGAACATTTTACAAAAGAACGTAAAAAAAATGCTTCCAATTATAAAACAAAAATTGTAGAATTTAAAATATATAATAAAAATAATTGTATCATTAACTAAACAATTTTAAACCGAAATTTAAGAATCTTCTGTTTTATTTATTTTTATATCTTCAAAAATTTTAGTAGTTTTACGCTACCTCCTAAGAAGGTAGAGTTTCTTTGAAACGTAAGGCACGACAAGATCTCGTCTAAACTCAAGAAGATGTCTTATATTTCGTAACTTTCTCGAAGACGATCAAGAAAAGGTACAGGAGAATGGTTTCCCGCTAAAATGATTGATGAACGTGATCAAAAGGCGGATGAAGAAGAATATCTACTATCACTGTTTTCCAACGTTTACGATGCAGCTTGGTGAAGTTCCAGAGATATATCCAAGCGTTAACAAAGATATTGTCACGCTACTATCGTTTCTCCTTATTTTTCCCTTAACACGTGCTGAAATCACTCTTTCTTCGCGATAGATATTTTAATCATCTAATTTTTCCCGTTTCAGAATGCGTCACTGTCGCGCAAATCACCTTTTCCGACGATCCTTTCTGTTAAATAATTATTTTTTAACAACGTGTGCCTTTTAATTATCTGTTTTACCTACGGTGGTACGAGAAAATTTTTATACGTAATTTAAATGGTTCCAAAGGGCGAATGAGACGAAAGAAACATTTTTTTCTTTTTTTAATGGAAGAAATTACAAAAAATGAAAGGAAGTTTCACATTCGATTTAAAATTTTAGAGTCGAAGATCATCAACGTACAGTAGAAAAACATATATACATTCGTGTAAAAGAACATAAGTAACTTTTAAAAAGAGAATAGAAAATATGACATTTATAAAAAAAAATTCTTCCATTTTATTCACCCTTCGAAACTATTTAAATTACGTGCAAAAATTGTCTCGTGCCACCATAGCTAGAGAAGATAATTAAATGGTCTGCTTTACGTGGTCCACCCGGTGTATCGCTATTACTTCTCCCTTACGCAAACGAATGAAAAGAAATTTATTAAATTAAGTGGTAATAAAATTTCAAAATATTGAAACTCCTTATCTTCTTTGTTTAATTGAATTCTACAATGTAGATACTTCATAATGAAATAGAAAATTCTAACAAAGGAAGGAGTAAATTAATTGAAAATTAAATAATGAAAATTAATTAATTTAAAATTTCTTTTTCCCGCGTCGATTGTATTACGTTATTTATTATATTATTATCTTGTATCATATTCAACGATGAGACTGTGGTTATTACACTCATCGTACAATTTCCAATTGCCTACAAGTTCGAGTGGAAATATTGCCACATCGATAATTTCGATACACTATCTCGATGCAATTTTGCCAACAGAAGTGATGAATTTTATCAGTGAAATTTCGCCGTTTTTCCGTGAAAATACATACATATGCATTCCACTTTCGAAACATGTCTCTTTTAGCAAATGCAATTAACTTTTTTGTTTTTCCCAGAATTTCTTTCGTGATATAATTAAGCTTCAATTTCAGCGACATCTCTTTTTTCCATTCATTTTTTACACCGTCTATCGACAAAAACGTGAAATCAACGTACTGCCTAGAATTATCGCGTATTTCTTATCGTAGTTTCTTGCATCGAACCGCGTGTTATGGATAATCATTCGAGACGTTATGAAACACGCACGACTGGGTTAAAAAAAATGTCACCACGAGTCATTTCAGGGGTCATTGCCAGGCTTCACCCTCGTTGCAATCGTGACCTTTTAGAGAAACACTCGGTAAATCGTGTGCATCGAACAAATCGATATTCGTGGTATCTTTCCGCGTGAATGATTCCATTAAAGCTGATTTCACAAACGTTTCAGGAAATTATTTAAATGGTAATTTTGTTGAAAATTACACGTTACCCCTGATAAATAATTCCGTAGGCGTGATAAAGTGAAATTGTACCGTTTAAATGTTTAATCGAAGCCTAATGATATTGGAAAACGAAAGGACCGACGCGATGAAGATTCACCTTGTTAGCGAAAATATTTGCAATTACCAACAGTAGGTACATTACCGTATGATTATTAGGAAAACGTGTTTAAAAGGAAGTATTTTTTAATATCTATTATTACGAGTAATATAATATCGCAATGAAATTTTATCATTTAACGGTTTTCAGGAAAATTACGAATAATAATGAGGCCGTATGCGTTGCAAAAATACATTCCTCTTATCTTAATTAAAAATTTAAATACACTTGTTACATGGTAGAAGATCCAATTAAAATTCTGAATGTTTGAGTAAACTCATTTACTGGAGATGGGATTCTAAATGCTGGTAAAAAATGTGGTGCGTTTAATTTCCTTATAGGTGTACACATGAAAGCGCAATAATATTGCAAAAAAATGTGTGCACGTCTAAAAATCCCTTTCGATGAAATTTTCCATCCTGTGTTACAATACATGTAATACACTTAGTATTTCAATTAAGTTCCATGCACAATGTTACACGTAATAAATTCAGCGTAAAGACATCGTGATCGTTAAAAATTCTCAAGTTAAACTTCAATCTCTTTAGAGACTTTAAGCACAATTTTCATTTATCTTACCGTGGTTGAATTATGAAGACACGCAGGTATTAAAAATGGAAGAGTGCATGTATTTCAATCTAACATCACAGTGGAATTAAATGAAGAATGAAATGCTTTTCTCTGCATTTATCAACGTTCCTCTCGAGCAATAACTTTCACATAGCTCGTACACAAAAGGGTTGCGCCACTTTTTATCCACATATTTTACATTCATTCTTAATATCGTCGTTGAAATTACGCGTGAAAATGTTCTACTATCGTATCTGATTAAAACAAGTGCGACGAAAATTTAGACATAAACAAATATATTGTTATTCCAAAAGTATTAAAAAAAATTAATCAGACCATTTTGCTTTTAAACGCTAAAAATTTTCTGGTTACTTTCTTTTCTCCTTTCACTTTACGATATTCTTTCTCTGTTATGAAATATTATATAATATCAATGAGGATATAGTTTCACGATTTTTACACGCAACAAAAAATAATACGAAAGAACATATCCTGATTTTTCTTCTAACAGTTTACATCTCTTAACTGCTTAAAATTTTCGATGAACTGTTGACACTAGATCGAACAAATAACCTTAAAACACTTAGTTGGACAATAGGAGAAAAAGAGAATTGCAATTGCGATAAAACTTTTACAGATTCAACTATTTTATCCCATTGTTACACCTGATAAAAGTTTAACTTTCATTAGCTTATGGGATCTAGTGACGATTCATTGATAACTAACATTTTATACGTAAACTAGTTTAGCTGCATCGTTAGCTTTACGTTGGTTTCATCTAGGGATTGTTTCTTCAGGCGGTAACATTTCTTTGTACAAAGAAAAAGGTGAGGGGAACGAAAAAGAATTCAGTACTCACCATGACGATGATCAGAACGATTCGCACACGAACGCAGAAAACACGTGCACGAAAGTTAAAACGGCAGATTTTCGTGCTTCATGTCACGTGTGTTATGCACAATTGAAACGCGCATCCGAGAGATCCGTTACGTTCGCGAGTCTCCAGTTAACTGGCTGCGTCTTTCGAGGCGCGCTAATAACAACCCATCACTTGCGCGGACCGCGTGCGCACTGTGCGTCGAAGGAGATTCTTCCGTAAGGGTCAGACGCGACCCGTTACACATGGGTTCTTATTATGTATTTTAACGCGGCTGGTTGTAATTCTTTTTTGGTCACGTTCGCATTGCTAGAGCGTAAAATCAATGAAATTTTCCGAGAAAAATGCTATTACTTGCATCCGTTATTTAACAAGGTATTTCAAGCAAATATTCATGGACCATGAAACGAAGAAGTTTGGATAACAAATATGTATGTATCATATGTGCATTCTTCCCTTTTTAGGTTAGATTTATAGCGAGTGATCGTAATAGAATTTTAAATTGATGTAAGAGATCACGAGACGTATCATCTTTCTACTTGTTTTACTATATATGAAAAGTGTTTCCTTTTGGAATTCGTATTTACGATTACTACGCATATCGTTTATAATAATACGCGATAAATTGTGTCATATGCGTATCTAAAGTTTTTCCAACAAATTGACTTCGATGTCAGTATAAAAGATGTTCTTTTGACAGAAGAAACATTTAAGGTATAGTTTTATCAATTTTAATCGTTTCTTTTTTGTATAATTTAAAACGATAATAATGTGTACGTAGTACCCTTCGATGTATATTTCATTCGTTCTAATTCCGCATTTACGAACCCTTTCGTTCGACTGTTGCGTTGCAACACACAAGTTTTGAATAGCGTTCAGGAATAGAAAGTTCGAGACGATTCACGATATTTCTAGAAGGCCTTTTAAAAAAACTATACTCGTTAATCAAATTGACCTTGTTCCCGACTAAATTTTTTGTCTGTCGGGCGAATAGTTTTTGGTAATTAACGTGGCGCCCGTGTTCTATCATAGTGTTTCTTATTTTTTGCACATGCATCACGTGTCTGTTTAAACACGTGGTTGGTTAGTCAGATTCTAACCTTAAATGAATCGAAAACAGAGTTTCCTTTGTATTGCGTTTATTTCGAAGAAAATTCGAAAAGTGGCAATATGAATTTTCAAATTTGTATAAATTATGTCGAGTTATTTTACAATAAGAAATAATTATGGAATAAGAATCAACGATATTATTCTCCACTTCTTAGTGTTTTATATGAAAGAAATGATAAACTGTTAGTAGTTAGATACTTAAAAATGTAAGATGCGAATTAAAGTATTTCGAAGATTGAAATTATTTCATCGTACTCTAAATGTGAGTACAAAACGTACGAAAAATTAAAATAAATAAAAAATCAAAATCAAATAGAGCAGTTCTATTGTACTAAGCAAATAAAGTCACTGTTAGTAATTTTCATACAGGAAAGTGCAAAAATTCTCAAAATTGCTTAAAAAAATACAGAAATATTAATACTTTTAATTCCTTATGAAATATTCCGCTGAGATCAGTCAAAACAGGCACCCCGTATATTTGTTACAATTCATTTCCATAAACTGTCTCTTCTAATTGGTCAAAAAACTGGCCATACACCCAAACCCATTTAAACTTCTTCTACCGTCGACTCAAGAGACAGAAAAGCACGTGAAAAACCGACTCGATGAAAATACTGCCGGAAAGTAGCGAAGTATCGAAAATAGCGAGTCGACGACAATTGCCTGCCAACGGTCGCGTTCGTCATTCAATCATCGTGTCGCGTCCCATCGAAATTCCCCGGGTAAAAAACGTAGCTCAACAAGAGAGTGATCCGATTGGCGTGCGTGCATGCGTGTGTCGAGTGTCGATTATGCTGAACGATGGTCGTTTAACTCGCGGACATTTTTACCTGTAATTAATGTACTACGTATGGTGGCGGTGTTCAATGTCGCGAAGTCGTCGACTGTTCTTGAACGAGTGGACGGTCGTGTGATCTGGCTCAGCCTTCTGACCGGCAGGAACATGAAATCGAAATCCGGTTACTTTCCCGAGAACGCCGTAAATTTGTCCACGTGTCGTAGACGTCGTAACCCTTTCCCCGTGCACCGTGTCGACGCGACGACAAGCTGTCGACCACGATTATAAGCCAATTGATGGCGTCGCAGCAGCCATCAGGTTCTGAATACCATTCATTTTTTCTTTATCGGATACAGATAACCGTTGTGTAACACGGTAGTTCGATTAAGCGGACTAATTTTTGAGAAAAATTGAGCAATTTTGCATTTTTCTGCAATAAGAAACTTTATCTTTATTAACACTTTCTCTGCGGTGTCATTTAGATTGTTTTTCGTTGAATAATAGCTACGTGCTAAGCTGATATTTTTATTATTTTTTCGCTATTTTCACCGTATTAGGCACTGATCGAACCTTTGTGTTAACCCTTTGCACTTTGAATTACTTTCCAAATATTATGATGTATAACGTAATAATACAATTTAATAGGAAGAGTGAAGGAACGAATGGAGATATATTTAATTTCAAATAATATGCTGAATATTGAATTAATTAAATATTCGAGGGTTATATCTTCTCGGTTGCAGTTTTCAATGTAAAAAAATTAATTTCTCAGGGAAAAGGATAAATTAGGTTACGAATGTCTGATAGATATGAAAGAAGAATCACGCCAGACACGCGAAATAAATTGTCCTTGTCATTTGTAATTTCAACAAATTTGATAAAAAAATGTGAAATATTTGTTTGAAAATGTAGAGAACGAGGGATCCATCAACGTTACTTCAAAAAGGGCAATGTCAAATCCAGGGTCTAAGGGCGTTTTAAGACCTCCGAGAAACAAAACTCCGTTGAACCAATCAGGACGTAGTTCGATTTACGTTCGTATTTTTCACATTTCTATAAATATTCCCGTCGTTTAACTAACTTTTCCATAAAATTACTTGCTTAAAAACGAACATTTCTCTGTCACTTTTGTCGAGCGAATTTCTTCGCCTTAACCCCTTAACCTATGATTTCTTTTCTGACCGTGCATCTAAGTGTCAGCCATTTTCTATTTTAGTACTGTATCGGGTAATAAAAGTTAATCTGTCACAGATTAATTATATTTTGTAATTCTCAGTCTTAGGAATTCGAACGAAAGTTAGGTTTCTTATTGATGTAACTATTTTTCTCACATCTTCACCAGAATCTCTGCCACGAGTCTGGCACGTTATCATAGGTTAAAGGGTTAAAATATTCTGAAAACTCGATTTTTAGAATATTTTTATACCTAATTTTTTTGGTTCAATTTTACACGTAATTAATTTTCATATCGTTTAATTTTATACCTAATTAATTGTTATGCTATCTAATTTTATACCTATTAAAGTTTACACCAAATTAATTGTCACACCTAAAAAGCGTACAGAAATGAAGAAGAATATGTATTGCAAAATATTAATTAGTCAATGTAACCAAAATTTTGTATACTGTTCGTTTATGATTTATAGAAATAGTAGAGGACAATTTATAATTGTGGACGATAAAATTGAGTACCGTGTGTAAGAGTGAACATACTATTTCAGACGGATTCTGTAAGTAATTCTACAGAAGATGTTTCCGCTGGTAATAAATTGTACAGCAATTCCGCTCGGCGAACGCCCGGCAAATCATCAGTCAGTCCTAGTCCTGTTTCACATAAAAGACCATCCTCCAGTCTGCCCGCCGGATCCACGCTCAGACCAGAGAATCAGTTCACGATGAAAAAGAGACGTTATCTACTGTTGAGAAAAGAGTTAATGGATAAACAGGTAATTAACCCGTAGACTCTGAGAAATTCAACCCAAAAACGAGCAAATCTGCACGAAAAAATTAAAAAATGTTTCCATGCAGATTCGCTCCTTTTTCTTTTAATTGTACCTTGAATTCTAATACACCCTGTATTAAAAAAATATACGTTTCATTATACAGTCTATTATTGTTACCTTATTTTTAATAATACTACTGCAGAATTTAACGCAATTGTTATAGTATAATTAATATAATTTTAACCTTCTGCTGAAATATTGGAAATCTGTTGCTAATATAAGAAAAATAGATAACAAGGTTTCTTTCAATTATACCATTCTATCCTCATCGTCAAAAAATTCTCTTCAACTGTAATCAAATTAACACAGAAAACTGTGTTTATTGTCACCACTGGTCGGTAAAATTTCAAACAAATTTCTTAAAAGAAGAGCGAAGCTTCTTTTCGTCTACACCATTCTATCCTCAAACTATCATCTTCCCTCGTCAAAATATCTTACCTTACTTGCTCGCAAAAAAGAATCACTTTCCTTAAATTACCACAGAAAGCTGCACAAGATCTGTACAACGACATGTCTCAGCTCCGTGAAAAGCTAATCAGCAACGGCGCGAGGGATCCTGGAAAACCAGAGGATCTGAGGCTGGAAGTTGGCTCGCCAAAACAGATTCCTCCAACGCCAGAGATCAGCCAAGTCGAAGAAGCGGAGTTGTACATCGAGAGGCTCCCGGCTGGTATAGAATTGCTCGAGACCTTGGAGGATCAGTTGCGGGAGATCCCGAGGAAGTCGCAGGATTTTTCCCGCGATCTCTTGGACAAGCAATCGAACTTCGTGGCTTTCGTGACTTCACACCTGATCAACGCCAGCGAGGGGAAAAGTGAAACGGACGAAGGGAGTTCAGAGGTGATCAGGCAGCTGGAGATTCACCAGAAGGATTACGACGGTTTTGGGTTGCGTCTGCACGAGATAGAAGTGATGGAGGACAACATGATAGGGGAATTTGCGAAGTACATGCGTCGTTTGATCGACGAGTACGAGCATTCCAGAGCGAAACTGAAGGCGGTGAACGCGGCTGAAGCTCAGAAAGAGCTGCAGGCTCAGTTGAACGAAACTCTAGAGGAGCTTCAAGCGGAGAAGGAGAAGAATAACCAGAGTAGAGAACGTCTTCGACAAATGGAAACGCAACTGCAAAAGTCGCGTACGAAGACGAAGGAGTTAGAGGCTCGTGCTGCGAACGACGAAGGGAAGATTCAACAGTTGCAGGTTAATATGAAGAACATGGACGGTCAGATGAAGCAGAAGGATATGACGATGGAGGTGAGGATGAAGGATATGCACAAGACGATGAAGAACAGCGAGGTTCTGGTGAACAAGGTGGAGAAACAGCGGGACAGCTTCGAAGCACGGTAGTTTTTTCTATTCTCGAAAGGAGTAACTGTTTCACGGAGTATTCTAAGCTTTTTTTTCTTCGTTTGCTTTAGGCTGATGGAACTGAAGGAGAAGATGACTAATAAGGAGAACGAGGCGATGGCCACGATCAAGGAATTGTCGGAGAAGCTGAACGCGATCACCGGTGAAATAGGGATGGAAACAGTGAAAAGGTGTGAAGGGAATAAATGATCTCTTTTGCGTGGAGTGTAATTATGATGATTATAAAATATTTGTTTAAATGTTTCTCTTATGATTTGTTTTGTCGAAGTTTATGATGCGAAGTTTATTTATTATTCTTGGGAAATGTATTCTTTCATAAACGTTTTATGCAAAATAGGCAGCACGCAGAGGAAGCGTTGGCTGAATTCGAGGAGCGATACAAGAATCTCGAAGAGAAGAGCACACGATTATGCGAACTTGCGGAGAAGAACAAAGATTTCACTATTACAGGTAGAAAATAGGAGAAAAAGGGTTATCTATTTTCTAGAGAAAGATCCAAACTATTGAAAGGTTGCATTGAATAATTCAATATGTATATCAAGACTTGATTTAAATTAAATCATTTAATTATTGTATTAATTAAATAATTACCTTATTTCGTAGATTTAACAAAATACATTTTAAATGCAAGACAAGTTGCAAGCTTTATATCAGAATGAAATTTAAGCAATATTTTATTTTGCTTAACAGAAGGAAATCACACGGAGAACGAGGTCCAATTGTTCAATGAATTAAGGGCAACCAGAGAGGAATTAGAAATGCAAAAGCAGATGATGGAGAAGCTGGAGCAAGAGAAAGAAGAAATCGTGGCAGTGATGCATCAAGCGGCCGTTAGTTTGCACTACTTTCGGAACATGTCCTCGTATAAGTCTTAAGAACTGCTCAGTTTAATCTTTTTCGTTTGTTAGATATTTTCTTAATACAGTCAACGATAAGACGATAATGTTTATATTTTTTAATCATGTGGCCCAGAGTCGCGAGGAGGACGAAGACTCCAGGGAGAAGCTGGCTGCGAAATTGGTTCTCAAAAACAACAAACTGCAAAACTTGATGATGCAGTACCAAGAACTGAAAAAGGTTGCAAAAAACGCGTAAGTTACGTTATTTCTAGTGTAATCTGTCTAAGTGAAACCAAATTCAATTCACACACGTAAATAATTTTTATGTTATTGAAAATGTGAAGAAGTTGTTTTAAAGCGGACAAATATATTATTAGTTTTGATTTTTTTTTAATTATTTCACTGATAATTTAAGCGTACAATTTTTGCAACTTATTATGATCAATATTTTGTGAACAATAAGAAATATACTTTATTCGTGTATAATTTCTTTAAAGAAAAATTGAAACATTTTCAAAAAAAATTCTTATAAACATTTCGAGCCAATATTATATTCTTTTTCTTTAATTAAAAAAATTTATAGCTTGATTTAAATTCGAGCACGCTGTATAGCGTGTTCATATTTAAATGTTATTTTTAAAATTGTTAAATAAAATATTGGAAAACGCTTTCAATAACGTTATTCGCTCTTTTCCACGGTGATATCTAGCCAAGAAAGAAATGGAAACTTAGAAAAGCAATTGATGGAGATTCAGACACGGGTGCACTCTCAGTCCATGGAGGGTGGCAAAGCTGGGTTAAGCGCTCATGCGATTGAACTTCAACAACAGGTCTCCGATCTTCGTAATAATTTGGCGGAAGTAATTCAGCAAAAGGAGAATTTAGAAACTGTATTGACTCAAAAGCAATTGGAGCTAGAGCAGCGTGATCGTGTCATGCGTGAGCAGAACAAATTTCTTAAAGCTAAGGACGAGTTGCTTTATGTTATAAAGGGAAAAGTTCAAGAAGAAAATGGGGAACAATCGAACAGCGACGAAAATAATGAATATCTTGAAGAGGTAATCACGAATATAATCAAACTCAAATATTGCTGAAAAAATCATTTTTGGTATGATAATTGGGAAGGCAAAAATTTTAAATAACAGATAGCAGAGATTATTCTATAGTATGTTATTTTTATTTTTATTTTGAAATAAAACCTGTTATTTTACTATTATTTCTAGTAATTCCTGATAAAAAAAATATTTCTAAATATCTAGGCCCAGAAAAAGTTCCAAGACTTTTATGCAACACTGATGAACAAACAACTGCAGATCTTCCGTCTGGAACAGATGGTGCAGCTGATGGAGGATCATCAAGATTGTGCACAAGCTCAACGCACGCGTTTAGAGGCTCGCATCGCTGAGCTAGAACTGAGCCTGCAAAAAAAAAAGGAACAACGGTACGTTAGAGAAAATTCATCTTCTCCAAAATTGAACGTGGACAATCGGGAAAAGGATAGATTTTCGCAAGATTCTTTTAGCGATTCCGATCAATCTTCCTTCAATTTGCACTCTTTCTCGAATCGAGACCAGCACGATTCATTGGCCAGGTCAGACGTTTCAGCAAGTAACAATCCTTTGCAAGCTAATTATCGAGCCTTACACGATTGCGAAAGATATACCTCGAGACAGACTTCCTCTGATGATGATCCACCTTATATTTGCGAACGTTGTCGTCAGCAAACATCCATAGAGGAAAACGAAGAACGTCAGTTAAATAAAAACGATTCCAGTGACAATATCAACGAATCTTTTCATAATTGGTTAACAAACCTGTCCAGTCTGGAAGTGACGAAAGATTCAGGCAATACTCGCGACTTCCAAGATAATGATTCCTTTTGTGACTCAGATTCCACAGTTCGAAATAGAAAATACGCTTCTGTGATGTACAAATTGCACAGAAAATACGATAACGAGGACGATAGTAGCAGGGAGTCGCAAAGTTCTTGTCAGAGAAAATATCATCGACATCGTTATCTTCATCATCGTATTCGGTCCCCGATACCGAATAGGATCGAGCCTCGTGGTGTAGCCTTGTAACAACTTTGTACATGATTTTTTATACTAAGGCACTTTTTAATACTCGACATCATCACGCTGTAATTTTGAAAGATTTGCTTTAGTGCAATAGGAATAATTGTCAAAGGATGCTTGGCGTTATTACATTACTTCATTAATTTCATTCACTTTTTATTTAAAGTTTAAGACAATAGACATCTGTGATATGAATAATATATGGGGAAAAAATCGGTTAAAGTTTGCTCAAAGTACTAGGTAAAGTTCGTTTTCAGCATTTGTTCTCATAAAAAAAATTATTTTCACTTATAACTTGTATCCATTTATATGATGTTTAATCATAGTTTCATGTAGGAGCAACATGTACAGCGCATTGAAAATAAATTTGAATGTTATTTTATTATGGTCTGATTTAATAGGCTAGGTACTCCCTGCTACCGAGTTTTTAATGTTATACCGTTGATACGAAAGTTCCTTACAGAGTGCCTAGCCTTTGAAACAGACCGATTTCTAATTTTTTCATTTCTCTGACCGACATTGTTTTTCTATGTTTTAGGGGTAAGGGCTTCGGCATCCTGTAAGGAATTTTCTAATCATCGTCAACGTAAATGTCTCCACGAAATTAAGTCAGAATTAAAGAAATTATTTTATGCTACTAACCGTTAAGTCTTTGGTGAGCGGCATTCTACATCGTTCGCAAGACCTTTTTGATTCGATATTCGACACAGTCAATCAAATCAAGAACACTTCAGAACGTATTTAAAAAGGCATGTAAATTAAGTAGTAATAATTCCATACCTTCGGTTTATTAGAACGAGTTGAAAAAATCGTTTGTGTATTTTAATTTACCTTATTATATTTAACGAAGTTTATTTATATATCTGTATATTATGTTTGTATGTATACTTTATTTTATAGCATATTTTATGAAATTAAATTATATGTACAAAATTAAACATTGTATTAATTATTTATTAATCACTATCATTATCACTACTGCCAGAATATGCTCCTAGTAAGGAGAGACCACTATGACCATTGTTTATTAAATTATGTACATTTTCCGTTGTGTTTTTATTCACATTTTTGTTTTCTTCCATAGAAGCATCTGTTTCTTTTGTTGTCACGGATTGAATTTCTTGTTTCTCTGCACTGATAGCTGTAGGGTTTGTATTCACTTTGGTACCTAAATTTATCTTTCTTTTAACTACACCCAACAAATTCTTTTTATTTGATGATGATGCTGATGATGATCCTGCATTTTCAGACCACAGTGATTTTTCAAATGGTTTTGTACCTTGGTGGTCTTTAGGCTTAAACAAGGAGAGAAAAAATGCTATGTATTTTTTATAAGAACTCAATGTACTAGTTATTAAATATTATAAAGATAAAATAATAGTATATTTACCTTATCTTTATCTATTATAGGTGGAATCTTATTATTTTCTTCTCTACTTTCATTTGTCTGAATTACTTTTTTTGGTGGTTCATTGCTTTCATGTGTTTTAATTACTTTTTTTCGTGGTTCATTATTTTCATTTGTCTTAATTACTTTTTTTGGTGGTTCATTGCTTTCACTTCCATCTAATTCCACAATTTCTTCCTCTACAATAAACTTTTTACCAAATATTGATTTAATACATTCTTCATCATATTCTTCTTGTTCCTTTTCTGTCCTTTGTTTAACTGCTTGTGTATCGAACTGTTCTAACATCTGATCATAGTCAATAGCTTGCTGCCTACGGTTTAAGTCTTTCAGTTCCTCTAAAGATTCTAATAATTCTAATTCCTGTTTTGATTGTAATGTTCTTTTTTCTAATAATTTCATTGGATTAGTAGCTTCTTCCTCCTTCTCCTCATCTTCTTCTCTTTGTGCTTGTTCCTCAGCCAATTTCAAAGCCATAAAATTTCTAGTAGCACCTGCTTCAATCTCATAATCTGTATTCTTAGGATCTGTTTTGAAACTTATTTCTTGGAGGCATCGAGTGCATTTTATATAAAACCTGTAAATTCGTATTCCTAAATAATCATCACCTTCAACATCTTCTTTACGGGCATTAAATTTCTTTCCTTTGTAAATGTATTCTCCACAAGTTTTACATCTCATATTGAAAGGAGCCATCAAACGTACCGTGTATTGTCTATTTCGGGCTAATTTCATGCGAGGAATTTTCGAAGGATCGAAATCCGGCGGGTAATATTTCTAGAACATAAAAATCATAGTTAACGTTAACATTATATTAATATAACATAAATATGTACAACTTATATAAATAATGCAACATTGTTCTTACATTCAACTTCATATAATTACATAAAATTTTACTTACGTTTAAAACTTTACGTTCCGACATGTTGCTGGTTTAATTTAATAAAATTATCCACAAGAAAGTTATGTGCTTTATTGCATAAATATTAAAATCCGTACAAGTTAAATGTAAATTAGGTTAGGTTTGCTGACAAAGCAACACTGATGCAGCATTACAGTGTTGCCACATTTACCCGCGGTTTCAATATTTTAACATTGGTATACCTGATACTTAAGTTGCAAAGTTAAAGTATGAAATTGTTCGTTAATTCTGTTATTATGCTTGCAGATTAAACAAGTGTAAAATGTAGGTATGTAAAAAAAATAAATGTGAAAGATTATTGTGAATTGTAGTTTACTAAAAGTACTTTTATTACACATAATTGAAAATAGTGCATTCTTGACAAATTTTTGTTTGTTATTATTGAATATTTGTTGGCACTTTTGATGTCATTTCGTCTTCACTAAATGGAAGTTTTCTGAAAAAAATCTATTATACTGATAAATGAAATTCAAATTTAATCTAATAAAAGTGTTATGTTAGCAAAAAACATGTTTAAAGGTGGTCTAATAAGCATAACAAGATGGGACTATGATGTAATCTGCAACGGCAAACATCATTTGTCGATTCCTGTCTGGTGAGTGATATTTTCAAAGTTTCCTTTTTACAGTAAATTTAAGATTATATTAGTTGTTAAATAGAGAAAAGAGAATTGTTTTGGGAGCGAAACTTAGAGTTAGAAATTTAAGTAAAGGTATATACATCTACTGCGTATTTTCGAATATAAATCGGGATTGGAATGAAAATGGCGGGAACTGTAGTTTATTTATTGCATTATACGAAACAGTTGAGTTATGAAATGTATTACATATGAACTGTTATTTAATGAAATTTTTAATTTTTTTATCAGATCTAATACATAATATGCTATTCTGAAATTCGTATTGTGGGTAACTTTGCATTTAAATTTTAGTATATTTTACAATAACGTTAACAAGTTTAATATACAGCTATTAGATCACCTTCTTTCCTTAGTATGTAATGACATTTAGGAAATAAGTTCACCAAACAGTGGTATTAGCCATTATTTCATATAAATTTCTTTAAAGAATTGTTCAAACAAAAATCGTATGCGTATAAATTTTATACAATTCTCTTTAATTGAAAGTCATACAACGCAATTAATTGATTAAAAACACAATTAATGTATTCACGCATACTATAACATTTATAATAGAACTTGTAATAATTAGAAACTTCTACACTCACTCATCTTCGTAATAAAACTGCATAACATACGTTCGTCGCAAAATATTAGTACGTGTGCCCTGTACACCTAACCTAACTAGCACACCATTGAAAAAATGAATATCCAACTCTGATTAGCAAACAACGATCGGCAGCAAGGTGATTAGCTCGTCATTATAGAATCTGTTGGTGGAATACATTTTAGGCGGGACGAATTAAAATCGGCAGCGAGACCTCCCCGGATGTTACCCTGGGTTCTCTCTCTAACGTGAATTTAATATCCGTGAATATAATGCGGGCATTTGACCGAACGATGAAAGCGTACGTACAGAAGAAGCATGAGCCCGTCTTGCTTCGTGGAACTGGATTCAATTCGGTTTCATACGTGTATAAAGGTTATTCAGCTAAACGCAAGGTAACGGGTACATGACTTGGATCAGTCGAGCGCGTAAAACGGGCAAACAAGAATCATTGCGCGAAGGAAAGAAAAGGGAAGAAAAAAAACAACCTTAAAGACACACTACTATCTCACGTTCTTTTTGTGGAACGACAAAGATGCGTTTATGAATACATTACTCGACCACGCATTTTTAAATCTGTTACGCGGGTGTGTGTGTATGTGTTCCCATTCCAGTCTGTTCCTCCTGTTCACCAAGCTTCACTGTCCATGGTTACCGAGACTGTAGCTACCGATGTTTTGCGGTCTGCGCTCGCGGCCTCAGCTTTGGAAGCGATACCATAAACCAAGGCACAGGATAGACCTAACATCTTATGGAACTTTGTGTCCCCGGTATGAGGGCCTAAAGAGCCCTGGGTTGCTTTCAACGTTCCTAATTCAGTATAGGATAACATTACAATGCCGATGGTTTTATGTGAACTGCGTACGTCAGATGTACTCTGAGATATTCCCTTGTTAGGTAACCAGAAATTTGACTCGATTTTTTAACAATTTAATGTTTAATATGTCAATAATTTTTTTGAGTTGGAAAAAAATCTATGATATAGAAAGTGTCTAATTTGACATGAAATGTTTCGTATCCAAGATACCGGAAAAAAGAACCGCCAACCGAATAGTTCCGAGCGTTGCCGAACGCTTCCGATCACCGTTCTTAAACACAGCGAGAATCATATGCAAAACGAACGTTTAGTTGAAAATAATTGTGTTTCTGTAAGTTGAAAGTGAATGCGAGTGATAGTGAGAAATGTACGTCGTTGATTTATTGTGTAATCTGGTGTTTTATGCCGATCGGATTGTCAGAGTTTTCAACAGCAAAGATTGACGTATTACAAAACGTCTGAACGTCTGAAATACTGAACGACTCTTCGAAATTTCTGCTGCCATATACAGTAAATTTTCTACAAGAGTCAGTAAGTTTGGATTCTACAAGTGACAGTATAGATGGTTCTACGCCTAGGTCTGCGTCATTGCTGCGCCCATGTTATCTCCGATGAAGATGACATAAAACACGATATAATTTGAACAACATTTACTTATTAACACGTTCACTGTTGCGCCAGATTTACAGGTTGCTGTCAGACGGCCACAAGAAAATACATTTTAAGCATAGGATTATAGTATTATGCTTTATAATTTTTCTTTTCAATTGAAAATAATGTCTAGCTAGCTATGACGTTCAAAATTTTTAGTTGACAACATTTATTTTATTTTAATTATTCTAAACATTTCAGGCACTCCAGTCACTGATGACCACCATGGCCATATCGAGGAAACAATCTAATGTTAATACTTATTGAGTGATTAATTTAATTTCATAATATATCGCTTTAGCGAGCCACCGTTTGGTTACCAATTGATTATTATATAGAGTCGGCCTACCTCCACGTAAAAAAAAAAAAGGGGGGGTCGATTCGACAAGTGTCAGTAAAATGTAGGGTCGGCCTACATCCACGCGAATTTATATTATTAGAATGAAATGTAACGATAGAAATTATTGCAATAATGCGTAATGCAATTGAAAAATTGAAAGAATCAAAAGAAAAAACGCGAATTCGTATCTTTTTCGATTCTAGAATATAAGAAAATTTGAATAAAATACGCGACGAGAATTGGGGAGAAGCATAAGTTAAACGCGTAAAAATATTCAATAATAAACGAACTAGGGATGAAGCTATTATTTCAATACGCGATGCACTGACTCTAGTATTTACTAAAATTCAAAAATTCTCGTATAAATTCCGAAAATAGATTATTAATTACGGTAAACTACTGAGACGGTTTAATTAAGGGTGGGCATGGTGCTGCTTTAGTTTGAAATGATTTATAAACACATAATTAACAGAGGAAAAACCGTGAAACGGCAAAACGTCTACATTCTAATTGTTATAACATGTAAACAGAACTTTAAATTTAGTGTAAACAGAAAAAATATATAATACAATTTATTTCACGGTATTGCAACAAATAAACGTTGAATCAATATTTAATTCGTATAAAAACAATTATTTAACGTAATAATTTTACCTTCACTATGGCTATTTTTAATCTACGACCACAGGTCAACCTGATTTCTAATCCTTACGAACTTTAAATTCAGTCTAAACTGAGAAAATATATAATACAATTTATTTCACGGTATTGCAACAAACAAACGTTGAATAGATTCTTAATTCGTATAGAAACATTTATTTAAAATAATAATTTCACCTTCACTATGGCTATTTTAAATTTACGACCAAGGGTCAACCTGATTTTTAATCCTCCGAACTTGATTTCACAACGAGAAAGTAATAAGATCGTTGAAACGTACTTATTTGTCAAAGAAACTTGCAAAAATGTATAAATAATAATATGTAATGTTTTAACAAATTTTTGGAAGTATAAATTAATAATAAAATTGTGAAAATTAATAAATTATACGTTATTATAACATTAATAGAATTATGACTAAACCGAAGTTCGAAGTCGAGTATTTAAAGTCTGATATTACGTGCCTAGCGAGTGCCGGTAATTGTTAAAATTTGTTTAATAATTAGTAATAGAAATTCTAATTGATTCTAATGTATACAAGTGTTACAAGAAGGCTGAGTGTGTACAGGGTGGACATAGACTAGCTAGTAGCCCCCGACCACTCTATTCACATCTCAGAACCTTCAGGTCAAAATACGCCGCGAAGTGTCTAGGGCCCAGTATAAAGGGTAAATGATTTCGCGGGACATCGGCGGGTCCTTATATACCTGCGGTACCCTCTCCCCAAAGTCATTAGCAAAATCGTCGGTTAGGTCAGGCGGGAAATTTTCGCGGGAGATTTTCGCGGGAGATTTCCGATATCGTAACACGGTATAATTTATCAATTTTCACAATTTTATTAAAAATTTATACTTCCGACAATTTGTTATAACATTGCATATAACAATTTATACGTTTTTACAATATTCTTCAATGGAAACATAGGTTTTAGCGTTCTCGTTACTTACTCGTGGTTAAATTAATTTCGTAGGGATTAAAAATCAGGTTGACCTGTGGTCGTAGATTAAAAATAACCATAGTACAGCTAAATTTATCGTGTTAAATAATTCTTCTTACACGAATGAAAAATGTATTCAACGTTTGCTTGTTACAATACCATGAAATAAATTATATTACACATTTTCTCTATTCACACTGAATTTAAAGATTATAACGATTAAAAATCAAGTTGACCTGTGGTCATTTATCAAGAATAATCATAATAAAGCTGAAATTATTGTGTTAAATAATTTTTTTAATACGAATTAGGAATTTATTCAACGTTTGCTTGTTACAATACCATGAAATAAATTATATTATACGTTTTCTATATTTACACTAAATTTATCGTTCTATTCTAACAAGCAAACGTTGAATAAATTCCTAATTCGTATTAAAAAAATTATTTAACACAATAATTTCAGCTTTATTATGATTATTCTTGAT